CACCGGCCTGGAAAGCAGCGTGTGGGTAGAGCAGACCCTGACGACAAGCAGGGCGGCTGAGATTAGGGACTGGAGCCATCACACACGTGGGGAAACGCAGTGGGGAATGGGGAGTGGGGACTATAACTCCTGTTGTCTTTACCCTCAGGTGCAGATTCGCTCTTTGCTACATTCTGGGATTCCACATACAATTTCTTCATGAATTGAGGTTTTTTTTTTCTTAAAGCAAACAAGATAACTAAAGTTCCCCAATGTAAAATATTATCTCTTGAAATAATGCCTACTGGCAAGTATTCACAAGTAAAAGGTCATGGGAATGATTTTATTGTTTGCTACCTAAAAATATATGTATAGAAATATATACGCTTTTTATTGAAAGTATATATATTTAAGGTGCTGTTGAATCTCATACAAATAATCGAAATTAAAAAGTTATTAGATGGACGATGATACAGAAAAACATAAAGAGGATAACTGGGGAATATTTTCTATGCTAAACCTCCACTCCTATGAGCATTCTCCAGTAAGATTCAGATCTTATCATTCTTGAAAATGCTGAGGCTTTTGAGGATAAATGCAAGTGTAAGTTAGAGATAGAAGCTTCTGATGTAAATATGTGGGAGGGTTACTTCTAGCTGAGAATAAACTATATCAACTGGAAAAAACTACAGAGTGACGGTAGCAATTCAGATTTCCATTACCAGAGGAAATGGACTGAGTCCCGTTAGTGATATACAGACAAATATGTACTTACGATGGGGTCTTATGTAAAAGAAATGGCAATGAATTACAAAGCACAGTGAAAAGTGGGTTACTGCAAATGAGTCATAACACCTGTGTAGGGGATAAAAGGGAGTAGAAAATTCTATGGTATGGATTCCAAAAGCAAGTTTCTGACATCCAAATGTTAGAGCTGTAGGAAATACATAGATGGTGATTTCAGGGTTGGCTTTTTACTGGTGAGAATTTACTTTTAGAGCACAGCTGTCTGAGACATTTTTAACTTTATTTTCTTAACTGACTTTTCTTTCTAATCCACTGCCGGAAAGTAACTTAAGCCAATTTGGTCATTTGCAATTGCCAAGAACTGTTTGGGAGGAGTGCATTTGTGACTTTCTGTACTTTGAGGCCAGCGGCGCCTGGCGCCTGTTCGGGCTGGCAGGCTCTCCTTCCCAGGTCTCCCGGCTCAAGGGCTGCTTCAAAAAAAAGGGGGTCTCGGACTGAACCCTGCTCCTCCTCCAGGGTATGTGGCGCCCGTTTAGTTACAACAAGTCTAAAGGTCTTGGAACCTGCTCCAGTAGTAGCTTGTTGCAACCCCCACTCTGTTCTTTTAGGGAACTAACCGGCCCTCATTGGAAAGTCTCTTTAGGAAAGACACGGCGATGTTCTCAGTAGGATTCCCCTGTCCTTCCCACTGGAATCACATAAAAAGATAGAATCTTTCTGTGAGCTGTTTGCCATAGGACTGGCAAAAGCCCAGAGTCTACAGAGACAGAGGTATGATTCTGGGATACCTCAGTGTGCAGATGTTCCTATTTTGTTCACGCAGTGGAGAGGTTTGAGTACAGTATTTCTGTTTTCTCCGGATATCTTGAACACTATTCATTTCATCAGTGAAAAGCTATGTCAATACCCATGATATCAGAGCTATGCTCAGCAAAGGAGACCGTCAACAAAATGAAAAGGCAGCCTATGGGATGGAAGAAAATATTTTCAAACCACATATTCAAGAAGGGGTTAAAATCCAAAATATACAAGGAACATATACAAGGAATTTAATAGAAAAAAATCAGATAACGTAATTAAAAATAGGAAGCCCTGGCTGGCGTAGCTCAGTGGATTGAGTGCGGGCTGGGAACCAAAGTGTCCCAGGTTCGATTCCCAGCCAGGGTACATTCCTGGGTTGCAGGCCATAACCCCCAGCAACCGCACATTGATGTTTCTCTCTCTCTCTCTCTCCCTCTCCCTCCCTTCCCTCCCTAAAAATAAATAAATAAAAAAATCTTAAAAAAAAAATAGGGAAAGAACCTGAACACACATTTTTTTCAAAGAAGACATACAAGTGGGCAACAGATAACATGAAAATTTCCTTAACATCACTGACCTGGGAAATGCCAATCAAAACCACAATGAGATATCACCTGAGATATCAGCCTTTCAGAAAGGCTACCATCAAAGACAAGAAATACCAGATGCTGGTGGGGACATGGAGGAAAGGGGACTCCTGTGCGCTGTCAGTGGGAATATAAACTGGTATAGAAACTCGGGAAATAGTATGAAGTTTCCCCAAGAAATTAAAAATAGTAACACTGTGTATATATGATCCCAGAATCCCACTTGTGGTTTTATGTCCAAAGGAAACAAAACCCTTATCTCAAAGAGACAGCAGTCCTCCTGTTCTTAGAGCCACTCGATCACGGTAACCAAGGTATGACAACAACCCAAGTGCCTGTCATTACAATGGAGTATTATTCAGCCTTGAAGAAGGAAATCTTGTCATTTGTGACAACATGGGTGAAACCTGAAGGCACTGTGTTGGGTAAAATAAGGCAAATACAATATGGTCGCACTTACACGTGGAATCTAAGAAGTGAAGAAGTTAGACTCATAGAAAGAGAGTGGAGAAGTGGTTGCCAGGGGGCAGTGGGCGGGGAAATAAGGAGAGATTGGTAAACAGCACGTGAACTTTCAAATGTAAGATGGATAAGGTTTGGGGACCTAATGGGGAATGTGACTATAGCTGGTCACAATGTTTTGTGTAGTTGGAATTTGCTGACAGCGTAAAACTTACATGTTCTCACACACAGAGAAAGGTACATGTGTGGGGTGAAGATGTGTTCATTGGCTAAATGGGGGGATCCTTTCACAGTGTCGTCTGTATAAAGTCATCGCATTAAACACTTCAAAACCTTATCATTTTGTTTGTCAGTTATACCTTAATAAAGCTGAAAAAGTAGATTATAAACAACCTAACACTCTTTTTAAATCATTTGTTTGTCTTTTTATTTTTTTTATAAATGTATTGCTGTGTTAACCCCTTATGAAATAAAGGGAAATATAACAAGAAAAATGGTTCCTCAACATTAAGGGCAACAACCTGAATTTAAGCCAGGTCATCTCTAACACTGTACAGACTGTTTTATAAAAGAAAAAACAATCCACAGTTCCCAGACATTAGCATGGGCTCTCAAAAAAAAAAATTGACATAAGACTACTACCAAGGAAACTAGATGGTGAGATAAATTCTGTGCTCGATTTCCAGCAAAACTAGAAATTGAGCAGCAAATTGAGTCAATAACTGCACTCCTCATGGCTGTGTGTGCAACCATCCTTTCCTTTCTCAGGGCATACTGATGAGCAGGTATATTTTTCTACATTGGTTTCCAGCATCAATTTTAGATGGCAGAATTTAGGGTTTTAATGATTATCTAATTTATTTAAAATTCCATACATTTTTATTTCACCATGTATGTAGAATAGAGATTTAGAGCCTGTATTCCACCAACTGCAAAAGCATTGAAAATGTCAGTGTCTCATTTAAGTATTCCCAGAGCGACTTTAAAACTATGAGGGTGCAGCCGTGGATGTCAGTTACCTGGAGGACTTGTCGAAGCAGAGGTTGCTAAGCCGCATCCATAGCTGGCCAGTTACAAGCGTAGAAATGTAGTAAGTGTGGATGAGATGGAATAGGATCTCAGGTAAAGGATGGGGTTTTCCCCCTCTGCCTTGGCTACAGTTATGTATAAATGAAGTTTTCTAAAATTGTCACAAATGAGAGATAAGTTAAGTGTGGAAAACTACCTTCTCAGACAAGAGAGGAGAAATATTCAAGTATGGGGAGAAAAGAAGGCTGGTAGGAGAAACCTAAGAACTGAGATATAAGTGCAAATTATGCATCATAACTGAGGCTTGTTAACTTAGCACATGCACTATTAGAGCAATTAATAAGTTGGTAACTAGATTCTTGAATATAATTAATATATAATTTAGTGAGCTCGTGCATTGTTAAAAACATTTTAGATCTTAGGATTTAGCTCTCTTGAGTTGTTGAAGAGCTTTACAAAATTAAACATAAAAAAATCTGTTAAATGAAATATTACATGGCTTCATGTACGCCAGTGATTTTTATTATGTGAATTTTTTTAAATGCTAAAAGGAAAAGTATCCTTTGAAAAAGAGTGTAGAAACATATTCAGATTTAGAGCCCTGGCTGGCATAGCTCAGTGGATTGAGCGTGGGCTGCGAACCAAAGTGTTGCAGGTTCGATTCCCAGTCAGGGTACATGCCTGGGTTGCAGGCCACGGCCCCCAGCAACTGCACATTGATGTTTCTCTCTCTCTTTCTTTCTCCCTCCTTTCCCCCTCTAAAAAATAAATAAATAAAATCTTAAAAAAGAAACATATTCAGATTTAAATGAACTCTTAAATCATTGATTACCTAAATAAAACTTTAGATTTAAACCAGAAATTTATAAATTTCTCATCATGAGCATTCAGTACACTGTTTTATTGCTCCTTTAAAAAGGTCAAGAACTCAAGCGAATGTACTTTATTTTAAAAGAAAAAATAAACTATCAATATGAGATATTTTTTAAGAAAGTGTATTACCCAGCCTTATGGAGCCTGATGAATTACAGAACAGGAGACAAAAGACGAAAATGTTGACACTATTTCGCGTGGCGATTGGGCCTTGATTTTTATTTTTTATTGTTATAATGTTATTCATGTAATGGAAAATAATAGATTTCCCAGTATTCATGTAATCATCAAAAATACTGAAAAGGAGAGACATACATTCTAAGTGTGTTTGATGGGGCAGCCGATCGGGGCAGGTTCGCACTTGGATTAGCGAGGAGGTGTCTGCTGCTGTCCCATCGGCAGTGCCCGGGACAGCTGGATGTCACGCTTGGCTGTGCCCCTTTCTCTCCTCGTCTGGGGCCGCGATGTAACGCTTTGCTCACTCATCCCCTCCCGTTGCTGCCCGGCCCCATGTCTCCGCAGGTCATTCTGTGTTTCTCTCCGGTTGGTCACACGCTGAGAGCTCGAGCTCGGAAGTTCCCAGCCATAGTGAACTGCGCGGCTATTGACTGGTTTCATGCGTGGCCGCAGGAGGCCCTGGTCTCCGTCAGCAGGAGGTTCATTGAAGAAATCAAAGGGATCGAGGTGGGTCGTGTCAGCCTCTGAATGTCTCACACATACGCACACACTCGCTCACACACTCGCTCTGACCAAAAGTCCTCAGTAAATGTTCAAAGTGCCCCTCCTGTCAGAAAGTTGCCCTTGTTTATCGGAGATGATAAGATCGTCTCTGTTGGTTTACATTCTAGGGAATATAATGGTTGGCATTTTTACACCTAGCTGAGATACGTGTGTGTGTGTGTGCACTGAGCTCAGATTATGTGTTTGGGGGGGCACAGTGCTTCTTGTGGGCACTCACAGTGCAAGTGTGAGTGCATTGTGACTCTTGCCCTGACTCACTGGAAGATCAGCATCCTGACTTGTGTCATAATAGGGCTGACTGCATATAAATCCTTTAAGTCCACAGCTAAAACCCAAACAGAACACCAGCCACCCCCGGCCACACCATGCTTGATTGTAACAAAGGAAGGCAATTAGTTGGGATTTTTCTCAGTACGGTACTGACAGATGAAAAATCAGCCCCCCTGAATTCTGCAGTCATCAAGTCAAATAATGACTCTGTGTCTTTGTTTTATGGCTTTATGATTTATAGGTTATGTTTGTCATTTCATCTTGAGGAGATTTGCACCCCCCATTATATTTTAAAACGGTTACGTGAAACCAAGCAACAACAATAACAACACAACTTCAAGGGTTCAGATCCCAAGGCAAATGAACAGTGAACATGAAAGGATCATTTAGACTTTCTAGAAATGAGGGGTTGCTTGTACCTACTGCCTTGCTGATCGGGCAGCGTGGAAAGGTGGTGATGGCGAACCTTCCCCGGGGGTGTGTCTCCCGGTGCTGCTGAGAGGGAAGGTGGAAAGGTACCTGGAATGGGCTGGGCGTCCACAGTGATTCCGTGTCTTCCTGAAGAGCTAAAGGAAGCCCACACAAGGGAGACTAACACTAACAGTACATTAAAGTCTACCAGAAATACTTCATACTTTAAATCTGGAAAACCGTGAAATAGGACAAATAATGGTCACAGTTATTAACACAAAGTCCTTAGGCTTTTGATAGATTGGCTGCATTCCTAGAGTCATGTAGGGCTCTATTTTTATCATCTAATAACTACAAGAAGTGTTTGAAATACCACTTGACTACAGGGAGAGAGTCAGTGTGTATCTTTCGGTTGCCAAAGTCTGTTTTATCCCGTGCATGTGACCAGGCTGGCGTGGCAAGGAAAAGGACTGGTGCACTTGGTTTCTTACTGTTAACTTCTCACGTGGGGGGAAGTCGGAGGGAGTGGCCTGGTCTAAGTTACTGTTGGGCACAGAGTTTCTGCAAGTTCCTTGCCGTTGCTGCTCTGGCGCAGGTTTTCTCCTGTCAAAGCAGGTACCACTTTGGACAGTTACTGCTGCAGGAGCTTTGATAGGCCAGTGACCATTGACATCTGCTGGAGGAGGCGGGATTTGCATCCCTGGAGTCCAGAGGGCTCCTGGCAAGGCTAAGCTCTATCTTGTGGTATCAGGACGCCTCCTATAGGATACTGAGTGTCACGCAGGAAACTGAAAAGCACTCTGCCATTTCTCTGGAGCTGAATGATGCCTGGAAACAAATTAGCCAGATGATTTCATTTCAGTGCAGGGTGCTTATTTAACTTTCCCACCTTCCTAATTTGTTACTCGGGAGCCACAATTATAATTCCGAGCACAGTGCCTCTATGTTCTTCTACATATGTACGGTGCCTTTTCTGTAGAGGTCAAAAATGGCTTGTAGGTATTTTGAATGAGCACCAAATGCTATCACTTTCTTAGTTTTCATTTCCACTGTCAAGATGAAGTTATCAGCATAATTTGGGCACTTCTTAATTATCGACCTCACTTGCTGGGTGTCAGGTACTTACACAAGGTGATCCCCTTTAGCCATAGAGAAAGCTTCATTAAAGGCAAGCAGTTTGGTGTGTGCTGACATGTAATTTTCCGTCAGCACAAACGCAGCACCCAAGGGTGTGGGCTGACGGTGTCTGTGTACAAGTTGGTGCTCCTTTCCCACTGCCTGGCATTGAACTAACCGGCAGCTGACAGCGGGACCGAAACAGTCTGATGCTTCAGCAGCACTGGCTATTTATCCGAAGGCTCTCAACGCACAGTCCTCCTCCCAGGGGATTTGGAAACAGAGGGGACGAAGTGGTGTGAGGAGGGAGACCAGGGAAGGCCTGTGGTGAACCTGGGAGTGGACTTGCAGGTGGTAACTGGGGGGAGACCTGCCTGGGAAGTGCGTGCGTCCCAGTTAGGGACACTCACGACAGAAGGTGGGTTCTGAGGTCTCCGAGTTCCTGCTGAATGTTGGGCCAGGCATGAAGAGTGGTAAACAACATCTTGTTGACATAGGGACATGAGCAGTGTTTCTGTTCATGGTTTTCTCAGCACAGCCTTTTCCTTGAAATATAAGTGAGGATTATTCCATGTGACTGTATAAAGTAGAAGGATAATCTTGGGCCATTGAAATTCTGTGAATTTGGGGAAAAGATCCTCTTTCTGAGGAATACTGTTACAATTTTAGAAGAGGGAGAGAAAAACAAAGGCAACCAAGTTATCTTGAGACTGCCTAAATCTCACACAGGCTTAAGCCTGTGTTCAAACAGATGAGAAAATCCCAGGTGGCCGTTAACACCCTACCCGGTCTTTGGCGCTCTTCCTCCTCTGCACATGCGCACTAATGCACTGGCCACCAGCTCATTCGTGCTCTGCACAAACGAAGCAAACTTAGAAGAGAATTATGAAAAGTGGCTCTCCAGGGCTTAGGCTGTAATGGAAACTTCAGGAATCCCCTCCATTTCAAAAGTAGGTCCAGTTTTTAAGGTGCTCAGGAACCTTAACATGGATGTGCTGTTAAGACAAAAGTTTAGTTCAATCAAGTGGAGGCATCACTGCAAGTTGTGGTTCCGTGGCTTCCCTCTAGCACCAGCCTTGCGAGGCCCGCTGCACCATCTCCCGCCTTGCACCTTTGCCATAAAAGTGGTAGCTGGTTCTGGTTGACCTGCTCACAGCCTCAGTCCTCAACCGCTTCTTTGTTTTAATGTTCAGTCAAAGAACTGTTGCAGCTACTTCACTCAATGACTAGAGTCATCTGAAAGCTTATTGGCTTTGGCTGGACTTGATCTTGCCTTTGACCCAAGCTGAGTCTCTAAAAGACAAGGAGTTAAACGCATGAGCAAAGTAACAAGAAAATACGTCCACCAGACAAAGTAGCAAACAAAAAATAGCACATGACTGAGGGAACTGGGAGTGGCATTACGTTTAACACCTGCGGCTACTCCGTCTGGTAGTCTGGTAATTGTGCTGGCACTACCATCAGTTCACTGATACCATCGCCAGTAACAGGAGTGACACCTCCCTGCTTGTTCATTGCTTGCCACCTCTAATCACCAGCCTTCTAAGGAGGGCCACTGGTTTTCCTGTGACGCAGGTTGGGGCATGGAGACCACAAGCCCAGGATCACTCAGCAGGTAAGGGCCCACATGCACTTTGACATGAGAACCCAAATGGTCCTAAGTTCTGCTTTTGACTATTGCACCAATGTCTGATTGTTCTGAAAGAGGAATAAAAGGAGAAGAAGGAAAGAAACAGAGTAAAAAGGAGTAATGAAAGTTTAAGGTTTGATTTGTGGGCGGAGGAAGTACAGGGAATGCAATAATTTGCCCAGCTTTACAGAACTGGAAATGCAATCCGGGTTCTAGGGTTCGAACTCTGCCTCCCCGCTGCCTGCAGTCTTCTTCTGGGAGTCAATCAGCTTGGCAGTGGTGCTCTAACGCAGCGCTGCTTGTGTTTCGAATTCCTAAGTGGCTTTATTTCATTAACAACCTGACAACCACAGTATCTAACATATTCTCCCCTTTTACCAGCCCCCAAACAGGCTAAAGTATACAAATAATTTTATAGCTGAACAGTATGGAATTGTTAAAATATTAATATACATGTTAAATATGCGCATTTGTGTATCAATTATACTTCAATAAAGCTGTAGAAAAATTTCTGAGAAGAAATTTCAAGGTGGACTGTAGGTAGATGACATTACATGTTACAAAGTTATCTCAAGTTCAACTTAAAAAGTTTCCTTTCATCCGCCTCCTTCTCTTTTGAGTGTAGTCCTTTTGAAAGTCTGAATTTAAAAATACAGACCAGTACAATCTTCTATGCTAGTCTTGGGAAGATGTAAAATCCTCTGTGACACTTAATGATATTTAATTTAGTTCTGGCCTCCAGGTATTCGTTTTCGTCCGAATTTTGCATCTGTCATTTCCAACGACAGGGACATACTGGGACTTTTCTTTAAGAGTCGGGTGGTCAGGGTACTTGGTGTGGCAGCGACTGCCACCAGCCGAGAACTATCACACCAAGAGGCAGGGGTTTGTGTGTGTGTTTCAGTTCACAGCGGGCCGACGAAGGGGGTAGAAATTAAGCTCTCTCTACTGAGGAGGAAGCAGTTTCAGTTTTGCGTTGAATACAGCATTGTTTTCCAAAGCTGCTTCTCGGAGAAATCTTGGATTTATAACCATTTGGTAGCAGCATGATGATTTTTGCCTTCACCATGTTTGGCCGCTAAATAGCTGTGGAATGGGGTCAGCTGGTTTCCACGGAGAGGCAGAGGGCGGCAGGAATGGCGTGCTTAGCTCTCACGTCTAACAGTGAAAAGGCTACAGCATCCCGTAGCCGTCCCTGCAGCGGCTCCAGCAGCCCTCTCCTCCCTGCCTCCCCCAAAGAAAACGGGAGATAAATGAATGGCAGAATAAATAATTTATGCTAATGAAATTACTGCAATTAGTAGTTCTACAATGACCCTTTAAAAGCCACAGCTGTTAATGTCAGGAAGTGCTGTCACTACTGACCTTATCATAAGAGAAAGTGACAAATTGAGAATGCAGGGAAGACCAGTCATCAAAGAGGTCTGTTCTGGAACGATTAGAGTTTTCTGAAAAACAGTGTGAATTACAAGCAGCTGCTCCCTGGCTCTGCGAGGCGCCCATGCTGTGCCGTTTTGTTAAGCCCGGTAACAATAGTTATTTTGCCCCATTGAGACAAGTTGTCTCGGGCCACTTCCAGCTCTACCGGAAACCACTTCTTCCATCGCGGATTTACAAATGAAACTGTTGTTCAAGGGAGCTTCTCAGGGCAGCCCAGGAGCCTGCTCCTCGGGACCATGGCTGGGCAGAGGCCAGGGTTTGTTGTTGTTTTTTCTCTCTGTAAGGGGACTGCACTTGGCCGTGGAAGTATTTATACTACAGAAGACTATGTGCACACTTTCCGGTCACATTGAAACAGGACAGGACAGGAGCGAGTTTCCACCCATGTTTATATTGCCGTCAAGCGCTCTTAAAAATAAAATCCCCAAGAGGATATGATTTCTATGGAGTTTATATAACTTCCTTATACATTCATGTTTCTGAGTCCACTATTTGGTAATATAGATAGGTCTTAGACCTACTAGAAACAAGGAATATTCAGGAGTCGTATTCAAGATTTAATTTTTGCTTGAAAAACAGGTTAAGCTACTAGTGAAATAGATTTTTTTATATGCAGAAGAATCCAATATGAACATCTTTAAAACCCACTCAGGAATGTTTCACGATGTGGGAAAGCTGAGGGTTTAGACAGGGGTCAGGAGCAATTGTTTCTCATCAGAAAGACAACTGGCCGTCTCTCCTCGCAACCCTCGTGCTCACACTAATGGTGCAGGTTTGGAACGTGTTACTGCATCACCAGCCACTTGTGCGCAATTTCCCCAAAGGCGTCTGAGTGTTATTGACAACACTTTGGTAAATTATGTGTGACTTTCCTTAGAGTTGGTGTAGCTCATTTAATTCATATTAATTGATTTTTAGGCTTCCCTTGATTAATTGAACCTGGTTCATCTTGTACAGAATGCAATAAATAATCATTAAAATGAGGGAGATGTGACTCTGCAAATTAAAAAGTTAACAACTTCAGAAGTCATAGAGGACAAAATGGAAACAATGTGTAGTGGGGGGGGAGGTTCCTTCTGGAAATCTTCAAAGGAGCATTGTTCTCCTCCTCACCTCCCACCCCCACCCCTAAATGAGAATAGAAATGATCATATTTTTCTCCCAGGAGCAGTGATTTTTATACCTTACCATCCAATTTTTCACATGGATTCTTATAAAACTATATTTCTCAGTTTTCAGCTTTTTTTTTTCAGTGACTGCAGGGTTGTTGGTTTACTTCGCCTAAAGTTGAGTTTGAAAGCAGCACGAAAAATACTTCTCTGAGTACTGTGTCTCAATTTCTCCATTTTGTCTTTCTCACACTTGATAAATAAAAATCAAGTTGTGGAAAGCAGTGCTTCTGTTATGTTGGTTTTGAGGGTTGGTGTGTAGGAGCACACACAAATCCTTTACAGGTCGTGGGTTCAATTCCCACTCAGAGCACATACCTGAGTTGTGAGCCAGGTCAGGTCTCCAGTAGAGGGCGCACCAGAGTCAACCACACACTGATGTTTCTCTCTCCCTTCCCCTGTGTCTAAAATAAATAAATAAAATCTTTTTAAAAAACCCTTTGCTCACTCACAAGAAGAGGTTAGCCACACCAAATGTTTTTTTTTCAGGTCATCTCTCTAATCCTGTAGATATCTTTTAAAGATTAGTGTTTCTAGATTCTACTGTAATTTGTTCTGGCTCTTAGAAAAAATGCAGTATATATTTGCTAATTTTTTCATTGCAGTTTTGTTTTGACTTGAGAGAATTTCACATGAATTGTGATGTTTTGTTTCAGCCTCCAGACAAAGATTCTATTAGCTTTTTCATGGCACACGTTCACACCAGCGTCAATGAAATGAGCACCAGGTATTACCAAAATGAGAGAAGATACAACTATACCACTCCAAAGAGTTTTCTGGAACAAATATCCCTGTTTAAGAACCTGCTGAAGAAGAAACAAAAAGAGGTCTCCCAGAAGAAGGAGCACTTGGTGAATGGCATCCAGAAGCTGAAAACCACAGCCTCTCAGGTATGACCCGGGTGTATTATTAGTGAGTGGAATCTCTGCTCTTAAAATGTTTTTTTTTTAATTATTTCTGAAGCAACATTTCAAACCATTTATATAAGACAACTAGTGCTAAAGTTTTGTAGCTTAAGGACAGGAAGAACACACTGTTTCTGCTTTCCTAAGCCTAGAAAGGAACCGGCCACCTACTCTGTCCCGCTGGTTTGGAGAGATGCCCTCCTTGGCCCAACCCAGTGCGGGACGGTGGAGAGATGCAGAGGGGAACAGGCTGTCCTCTCTCGTCTCTGACCGCTTCAGTGCTGTGGGCTTGTTGTGAGGAATTTTGTCACCTGGGGATGGAACTAGGACCTGTTTTGGTCTCAGAGTCTCAGCGCCATGTGAGGGATCATCTCCTGGTTGGTGACGTGATTAGGACTGATGATGTCATTAGGGTCCCTAAGTGTGCCAGTTTTCTCCAGTCTTGGTGTCTGGTCTTTTATCTTAGCATCCAGTGATGCCTCTATCCTCCGTCATAAGGCCCCTGCTGCCTTGAAGGACAGTACCTCTAACTCCAGGAGTAAATCAGAGAATCCACATAGTATGTTAATCATATCTGCACCCCTGTCATTGAATTTCATTATTAAGCACCAAATGAGTTTATGACATAGGTGTTGCTGCTGTAATTTTCTGTATGAGTCTTAGACAGCGTAAGGCCATGGAGCTTGTGAGGTTGGGGTTTGAACCCAGAGCGGTATTACTCTAAAGCCCGCGGGCTGTCCATGGTCCCGTGCTGCATCTCTGTGACTGGTCAAAAGATATTAGAATGTGAGAATATGGAGACTTAGGAGAACAGCCCAGCTTTTCTCTGAGCCACCTGGGCCCTAGACCTGGAGGAAAAAAATAATAATAATAATTGTCACTGGGGATGACCGCAAGGCCACAAATGCCAGTGGGTTTCTCTAGAGTGTTGTCATCAGCTCATGCCCTCCTGCTTTTCAAGAGATTGAGCCAGTTTCCCCCGAGTAGCACAGCTGGCCCATCAGTGCGGGCTCAAAATAAGCTGCGGACTGTTTGGGGATGTGTATGCTGCCGCCTTTCCCTCTGAAGGTCTCTCTGGCTGTGTCTTTCATGCCTAAGTACCGTTTACCTCTTATCCTCTCTGTTCCATATACGAGGGATGGCTCTTTCTTTCCTTTTTTTTTTTTTTGGCTTTTTAAAAATTGTTATTTAAGTAAGTTGTCTTTATTTCCCCCCCCAATCACTTTCCCCTGCTGCACCCACCCCACCTCCCACCCTCAATCCTTTCCCCCTTTGGCTTCATCCATGTGTCCTTTATACATGTTCCTTGACGACCTGTCCCCCTTACTCCCATTATCCCCTATGACCTCCCCTCTGGTTACTGTCAGTTTGTTCTTGATTTCCATGTCTCTGGTTATATTTTGCTTGCTTGTTTTGTTGATTAGGTTCCACTTATAGGTGAGACCATATGGTATTTGTTTTTCACTGCCTGGCTTATTTCACTTAGCATAATGCTCTCCAGTTCCATCCATGCTCTCACAAAGGGTAGGAGCTCCTTCTTTCTTTCTACTGCATAGCATGCCATTGTGTAAATGTTCCATAGCTTTTTGATCCATTCATTTACTGATGGGCACCTAGGTTGCTTCCAGCACTTGGCTATTGTAAATTGTGCTGCTATGAACATTGGGTGCATAGGTTTTTTTAAATTGTTTTTTTCAGGATTCTCAGGGTATAATCCCAAGTAGTGGAATTGCTGGGTCAAAAGGCAGTTCCACTTTTAGTTTTCTGAGGAAATTCCATGCTGTTTTCCACAGTGGCTGCACCAGTCTGCATCCCACCAGCAATATACTAGGGTTCCCTTTTCTCCACAACTTTGCCAGCACTTGTTTATTGATTTGTTTATGATGGCCATTTTGACCGGTGACATGGTATCTCATTGTGCTTTTAATTTGCATCTCTCTGATGGCTAGTGATGCTGAGCATCCTTTCATGTCTGTGGGCCCTCTGTATGTCCTTGGAGAAGTGTCTGTTCAGGTCCTTTGCCCATTTTTTAATTGGGTTGTTTTTCTTCCTGGAGTGGAGTCATGTGAGTTCTTTATATATTTTGGAGATCAAATCCTTGTCCGAGGAACGGCCCTTCAGTGGCGTGCTGGTCTGTACTGAACAGTGAATAGAATGAACACGATTGGGAAATAGAAATCAGACTGAAGAGGTTTCCCCGTTTTCCAGGAGTCAGTGATGTGAAGACTAGTTTCTAGGAAGCCCCCATCTTTTCCTTCCCTTTCAGAGAATGTCTTTCTTTACTCTTCCTTGGCATGCACATTTTCTCTGGCAGTTTTCTCATTGCCCTCTTTCTCTTTACTTCTCCTCCTCTACCCATCTCTCCAATTCCATCTCACTTAAATCAAGACCACTTTCCCCAGTAAAGACTTTCCTGGAGTCCCGTTGAGCTAAGAGAAGATGCGTGGTTTTCTCACACCATCTCAGTTACGTGTTGATGAGCTGAGGAGGAAGAGAAGGGAGAGAAAGGAAGCGAGCAGCAGTCCTCTGCCCAGTGCGCAGCTGTGTGGGGTCCCCTTGCTCCTCCGCAGCCAGAAACTACAGGCAAGAAGTCCTAGAGGAAGGTGCACAAAGTGGCAATTGAAGGACTACTGGTGATTTCTTTTCATTCGGTATTTGTGCATGTAATGGTCTTAATATCAGAAGACTGGTTGGAATATTTAATAGCTTCTCAAGAGTTTTTTTTTTAATCAGTGTATTATATAAAGGAAGCATAGTTTCCTATGTGGAAACCCCTTTTACAGCCATATATGTCCTCCTTGGATGTCAGCTTAGGTCACCTGAGGCACTTTGGATATTTCAGACCTAATAGTTTCCTTAGAATCTGAAATTAGATCTTGAAATAAGTTTCTTCCTAGTCTCTTGGGTGATTCTTTTGATGATGACTTAACACACGACCGGTTTCACGTGGCTAGAAAGAACAGAAAATCAGATGTCATTGAGCAGGGTTACCCTGAATTTGCAGAGCGGCAGCTAAAAAGCAGTCTTCCTTATCTTTAATAGTAGAGTAGTAGTGGGAATTTTGCTATTTAGGTAGAGTGTAATGAAGTGTGTTGAGGTGGGGGTTACCAGAATCCTTGCATGTGGTAGTGGGATGTCCTTCCACAAGATGGAACCACTAAAGTGCTTTTGGCAGTTGAGACAAATATGAACATTATGCCCTGCCTGGTGTGGTTCAGTGGACTGAGTGCCAGCCTGCAAACCTAAAGGTCTCTGGTTCAATTCCTAGTGAGGGCACATGCCTGGGTTGCAGGCCAGGTCCCTGGCCGGAGGCCTGTGGAAGGTGATCGATCCATGTATCTCTTGTACATTGATATTCCTCTCCCTCTTTTTCTCCCTCCCTCCCACCCCCCTCTCTAAAAGTAAATATATACAATCTAAAATAAAATAAATGTTATTGTTGGCATTTTTTTGCTTCTATGATTTTTTCTCTTTTTTCTTTTCTTTATTTATTTTTAGAGAGGGGAAGAGGGGGAGAGAGAGAGAGGAAGAGAAACATCAATGTGTGGTTGCCTCTCGAGTGCCCCCTACTGGGGAGCCCAGGCATGTGTCCTGACTGGGAATCAAACTGGAGGCCCTTTGGTTCATAGCCTGCACTCAATCCATTAAGCTACACCAGCCAGGGCTACCTCTATGATTTTAACAAAATAGTAAAATTTACACTTCTGGAAAGGAAATGGAATGAAGAGCTAATTATCATGATGTGTGAGCTGCTTTCACATGTTTTGAGGGCTGAGACCCCCTTTTCTCCCTAGTGCCTCACTTCTGCTTTCATTTACATGATCCTCAGACTCAGGAACCCAGTGGTACCGTTTGAACTTCATGAAATCTTAGCTTATAAGGTGGGGGAAGCCATTCTTTAGAGCAGATAAACTTGTGGCTGCCTCAGAAAGACTGAGTTTCACAAGAGCTGCACCCCTCCTCTCAGGAGGAATTCACATCCGGAGGTTTCTGATCCCCCAGGACCCTCAGGGTTTGCCTTTCATGATGTAGGAATTAAGGTGAGTGTCCCGAGAAGTGAAGAAAAATCAGAAGGCCATTTCTTACTTTGTGGGAAGAGATAAGATCTATCTGTGGGCACATCCATCAAAATAAGCAGCGGAAAACAGCCAGGGAGTATCAATGTCTCCAACCCGTCTGGACCCTCCAGTTCTCTGTTGGAGAATAAAAGCAGGGTTCCTCCAGCTTGTCACCAGGCCGGGTCTCCCCTGGACTCGGCTGCCTGGAGCCTGAGCTGCACAGGACGGAGAAAGCCAGGGCTGCGACTGATGGGGCTCAGGCGGGAACCACTGTGAGTGCGCCTCTGACTGCACAGAATGGGTTGAGAAGATAATCTTCTACTTGGTGCTTATGTAAATTAATATTTCCCACAAAACCATTGGAAAACATTGTTCTGTTTATTCCTTTAAGGCAAAAGTTGGGGTTGTATTTTCACACATGGGACTAAAATCCACTGGGTAGAAACAGATGCAATATACAAACTGCTGGGGATCCCTGAATTCATTATAAAAACTAAGCTATCTCTGCCCTGGCCAGTGTGGCTCCATTGGTTGGAGCCTCATCCCATAAACTGAAAGGTTGCAGCTGCGTGTTTGATTCACAGTCAAGGCACGTACGTAGGTTGTGGGTTTGGTCCCTGGTCTGGGCATGAACAAGAGGCAGCCAATCAATGTTTTCTCTCTCACATCCATGTTTCTCTTCCTTCTCCTCTCTCTAAAATTAATAAGCATGTCCTCGGGTGATGATAAAAAATAGTAATAAAAATAAAAAGAGTTATATCTGATATTTGTTCTTATCAACAAAAGTTACTTCAAAATAATGGCTCTTCTCTTTAGGTGGGAGATCTGAAAGCCAGACTGGCCTCTCAGGAAGCCGAGCTGCAGCGGAGAAACCAGGATGCCGAAGCTCTGATCTCAAAGATCGGGCTGCAGACAGAGAGAGTGAGCCGGGAAAAGGCCATCGCCGACGCCGAGGAGCAAAAGGTCAGGCTCTTTCCGCCATTTAGAGCTGAGCTGTATTTAGCACAAAATAAACCTTAGTAGGTGAACAATTTTGAGCAACTTCCTCTCCAAGGAGCATAAAAATCTAAAGAATTATTATAGTTACACATGTAACAGCATTTCACATCACGATTACCACTTGACCTTTCTTTACATTATGCATTTTCCCAACCTTTTAGCTCTTTTAATGATATGGAAGGACAATAAATACTGAGCTCATTCAAGCATATAATGGATGTGGATCTTGAACATCAGGCCTATTTGTAATACAGTAAAGGTCAGGAAGGCACCTCTGAGGTTTCTAAAGGTTTTCAGTTTTTAGGCAAATTGAACAACTCAATTGTTAACAAAGCCCATTCCACCACTCTGCTAGATGGTTTTCAAATTTTGCATTTTAATAACACAACTTGAGTTTATTACTAAATCCTAAGTTAAATTTGTTCTTTTGATTCAATTGAGGCTCTGGCATTTTGTATTACGTTTTATTGTTGGAAACAATTACTTTTAAGATTATATAGAATCTGCTTTCTTTGCACTGAGGTTTCCAGCAGTTCTGGAAAAAAACATAACTTCTTTTGTCTTCTGCTTTTACCAACATTTCAGCTTTAAATGGAAGGGGTTTTTTTTCCTATATCTTATTTTCCAAAAGAAATATTACAGTAAATGTAAGATTAATAAATATTTGTTTAAAAATTCAATGAATATATATATATATATATATATTTATTTATTTATTTATTTATTTATTTTGTGTGTAAGGTAAATTCTTTTATTTTAGACAAAATATTAGAATCTGGGCTTAGTTAATAAAAAATATGAATTGCCACCACTCTTAAAGCCAGTGAATCAGTTGAATCTATTATTCATTATCCTGGCATTTTCTGGAGCCAGAAAATATTTGAGTTTTTCCAGTGGTATTGCCATTCATTCACAATTGAGTCAATTGAGTTGTTTTTCTAAATGTGTATTGAGCATGTTTGCCTTTAGTTTGTGCAACTGAAGACTTGAAAAGTACATTGAAAACCAAAGCTCTAAATAAACTGTTTTAAAAAACACAATGACATCTTGAAGTGGAAGATAAGGCACATTTGATGTGGCCAATAGGCATATAATTCCTAATTCTGATAATAAATGTTTTTATTGAGTTACAGGTAAATGGAAGATGTTTTAAAGAGTCTATTAGTATATTAAGCACTTAAGAATCACACGTAGTGTGATCTTATAAAGTAATGCAACCCAGGGGATATTTTGTTGGCATCGCACAAATATGTGATGTTCTAGTAATTGTTATAACCTATCTCTACAGATACCTTTTTGAGATCTTAAAATAAAACAAGTACTCTGCAGGTATTTTTGCATGTGAATTCCTAAGGCAAAATTATTCTCTCAAAGGGAAAAATTTTAGAAAATTAGAACTTATCTGACAGGTTGTGGAGTTCTTCAAACATGAAAGAGACACATAATATTTTTTGTAGCTAACGCATACCAAGAAATAAAATGATCCTAGCACGTATTTTTATTTTATCCATGAGGCTTAATTTAATTGTAAATAACAAAGACTAACTGAGCACCTGTTTCTTCCCCGGCGCTGCGCTCGAGGGTAGAGATCACACAAGGTGACCTCACATAGCTCACATGGCAATGGGAAGACTGACAGGAGACACGTGACACGCTGACAGACAAGAGGGTTTGAGGTAGTGATGCGGGATCTGATAAACATCAAATAGAGTCAATGGCAGAAGGCACTATTGTAAATTGGGAAGCCATAGAAAGAAGGTCTACTTGTAATTAAACCACACAGAGGCAAGGAAGGTCAACAGCAAATGTGTGCTGTGGGCTCCCACTTGTTAGATGCTCAGCAATGCGCTAGGTTCTACGTGGTTATGAAAAGTGTATATGGACCCTGTGCTCCTATGAAATTTGGGGTATCGAGGCTTAATACGTGAGAAGCAATTAAAGGGTAATAAAAGTATATTGCCACATTTAATGTCGGGGTTTAGACACTGCTTTGCTGTGTATATTGACAACCCAGGCAGACAGGCAGATTGAAATGGTTGCTTCAAATTCATAAAATAATAAAAGATCCCTTCAAACCACTGGCATGGCCAGCAGAGACTTCACAGAACACCAGCACCATCCAGCCTGTGAAAATGAGCTCTTCCATCTTTGACTTAACCAGCTCCAAAGCCTAAGGATCCTCTGATCCCTGCTGGGAACCGCCGTGCCTGGTTTCAGAAGCCGTAACCCCCTTGGCTAAGGCTGAGTAAAAAGGCCTTAGGGACAGAAGCCGCTAAGGAAACAAAGACTTACTCCCTCTCACATCTCCGTGCTTGGCACGGGTGGATGACTGGTTAGCCAATGGCAGGTAAGATTCCTCAGGGGGAGGAACAACCTTAGACAGGCACAGTCGAGAAGGCACCACCAGGGAAGGACTTAAGGGACTACAGAAAAGGGGTGATGGACCCTCACCCCTCAGCTTTGGGTAGCCTGAGTCCTCAATCCACTGCAGGAAGTCTCCTACTGTCTTGGCTACTTCGTTTCCCTGGCCTGACTCAAGCCTGAAAGAATGCCAGATAAGGGGGATTGTAGCCCTGTAATATTACAGGCGGTTCCTGGGACAGTCACGCCTGAAGAAGAGTGCATGAAGTCCTGTGAGTCCTGCTGTGCTAAGAACACCCTTAAGAATACCCTTAAGAATACCCTTACCCTGACAAGGACACCAGTCGGATTGGATTAGGGCCCACCCTAATGGGCTTGATTTCACTGAATGGCCTCTTTAAAGCCCAATTTCCAAATAGTCACTTTCTGAGGGACTGGGGTCAGGGCTTTAACCTAAATTTCGGGTAAACATAACAAGTATTCTGACTTCATCCTCTCGCTGTATCCACCACTAAATTTCATGAGCCATCTGCAAGGAGCTGTTGACTGATAAAAGTTCTGGTGTACCCAGGGAGGGGACTACTCCAAATCTCAGCTTTAGCGGACAGTGGTAGAGGGAAAACACCCACGCTAGGCAGTTTATGTAGCTTCTCCCCCTTTTCCAGGGTGAGCCTTGCTGGCACCGCCCCAGAGCCATGGGGCAGAGGGAATTGCACGCAGAGGCTTCCCGAGTCACTGAGGTACAGAGCATTTTCACGGCTCTAGTGTTTTCTCACCTTAGGGTGAGAGGTACAGGGAATGAGAAATAAGTTCACCTAGAGTATTTTTTATGTGCATTTGTGTATTTTAATTTATTAAATGCTCAAGACTTCTGTTTTTAATTATTACCCCCAAATAATACTCCATTAACAGTAAAGGAGACAGAAGAAGAATGGTAACTCCCAGTCTTACAGAAATAGCACTGAAAGAAAAACTCCTTGTTTCTTCTAGTGCTAAAGATCTGCGATCCCGAGTTCAGTTTTGGAATGATGCTGTTGTAAATGTAACAAAAAGCTTTTATAGATTCATTATATCCCTATGGAAAATAAATACTTGAGGTAATAACTCGCTCAGTCAAATACACTCACTCACTCTCTCAGCCGTAGCGGTGTTCTCTAGCACACTGAAAATGTAGTGTTCTTAAAATTTTCATGGTCCATTCCTGGCAGCTTTGAGGGCTGTGGTTTTGGAGCAGTTCCCGGTAAGCGTGCAGAGTTTTCTTATTTCCATTAACGGTAGCTGTGTATGTCCTGGCAGGAGATCGAGTATCTACCCTGAACGAATTACATATGTTCCTAAAAGGTGTGGAACATACCGTGGCTTTTAGGCAAATACTGGTTAATCAGGAGGTGGGTAATTACTGCTAATAGAGCTTTAGTAGACAACACAATTTGTTGTGAGTACTGTTTAATTTTATGGTATAGTTAAACCTGTTCATTCCAAACACGCTGGAATAGAGGCAGTTTGTTCACACTTTACATTTCATGCACCACCATCACCTCAGGAACGGTCTCCAGGGTGGCCAGATCCTGGCGCCCAGCACCACAGCTTTGAACTTCAAGTGTCTGCTGAGAACTGCAAACGTACTCTTCCTGGCCATTCAGATTCTCTAGGTGTCCTAAGAGGAGGAGGAGGATAAAAACTCCAGTGCTTCTCACTTTGATGTGGTTCACATTGACCTGCTTGGTTTCCCTATGTCCATATTACACATGTTCATGTCATGAGGCTGGCACAGCACTCCCTCTGGCACGTGAAGACTGCCACTGGACCCCCAACAGGAGAGTGGACGTCAGCGTCATCCTTCCACTGCCAAAGACAGAACTGGACCGCTGCAGCTCTAGGTCCTCACCAGGTCCTTAGAGAGACCAGTAATTAGTCTTTAGAGAAAGTCTATCCGTGGCTCAGCTCGAACGGCATGGAACGGTATGTAGTAGGCAGCTGAGCAAGAAAGCTTTACATCTATTCCTAAAGAAGAGCCAACATGGCTTGTAGGCCAATGTTAGCGAGAATTATGTAGGGGATTCTGGCAAGAATATTTTGTAGTCTAAATTACTGCGCCAGCCTGGAGTTTTGCTTCTCCAGGACTCTCTGAAAAAGGAATTGGAAGAACAGAGGAATCACTTCAACTTGCCTTCCTTATGAGTGGGACCCCACAGTTAAATTAGTCAGAGCCCCTCCTGGAGCATATTGGTGCTTGAATCCATTTGCGTTGGCACTTGTCTTTGTGTACTTTGTGCCTGTGCTGAGCTTTGTATACACAGTGCGCCTGAAGGGAATTAGTCTTGAGACAGAAATCCTCATCTATTCAAGATGCAGACAGACGCATTATTGAACCATAGTCTGATTCAGCCCCTATTTTTCAGCAGCGATATCTAAGGTGACCGTTTGTGTTTGTGGGTTTGTGTGCTTTCCCTCCCTGATTAGGTGACAGCCATTCAGACCGAAGTGTCCCAGAAACAGAAGGAGTGTGAGGCCGACTTGCTCAAGGCCGAGCCTGCGCTGGTGGCCGCTACAGCTGCACTTAATACACTCAACAGGGTAAGGACGATTGCACAGGGATTCCTGAAAATAATATTGAAAGTGTTTAGAGTTTGACTAACTGAACTGAGAGTGAAGTCCATGCAACCACAGAGTTCTTAAAAAGAAAGGTAATAATGTGGAAACAAACGTTTGAGGTCATCAGTACAGTCCACCTTCCTTTCCCACCCAGGAGTCTGTCTCCCCTGTACTCCCGTGAAAGGCACTTCCTGGTTAGCAAATGGATTTGACCCAGATCCAGTTGTTCCAGTTATGCATTGCTTTAAGAACTAAGGGGGTTGGGGAGGATTCTGTATTTCCTCTGGAATATAAAACGTAGCAATAATGAGAGCCGCTCACGAAAAGAATGGCGGGTGGGAACACAGTACCTAAGGTTGGCCCACGCCATTTTCCTTACATTATGTTATTAGTTAAACCCCATTGAATTTTTGAGTTTCCATATGAGAAAATAATCTGTGATAGTTAGAAGGGTGGTGTAAAGAAAAACGGGATTGTGGGCGATGGTATTTGAAGCAGCTAGTCTTGTCCTTGGGCCCTAGGAGACCCCAGGGGAGAACCCCAGGGACTCCCAGGCCTGAAGTTTCGAGAATTCAACTTCAAAGAGAAAAGGATCCGGCTTTCACTGCTCTTCAGAGAAATATTCAATTCTTTTTACGAACTATTTTGTAGGAGATACTAATTTTGAGAAAGAGTTATTTACATACGTGTTGCTGAAAATACAATAAAACTGAAAAATAAAAAAGAGTATAAGTATACCTTGACTGAAGATTGATTATTATGCATTCAGGTACTCTGCTGCCATTAAAATGATGTTATTGAGTACTAGTTAGCAACATGAGAAAATGTTTATGATATATGCAGTGAATAGAGCAAGTTATAAAACAGGAGGTATGCTATGGCTTTTTAAAGGAGGAATATACATTCATAGAAAAAAGTTGCAAAACAAAAGACAGTAGTAACCTTTTATCTCTCAGTAATGAGATTTTGTATTTTCCTCTTTATTTTAGAGCAATGGAATGTGTATTTTCTGCTTCGTGTTTCTCTATATTTGCAACTTTTTCTCTGAATATATCATTATTTACCAGCAAAGTAAATATCACTGAAATATAAAGCTGAATATATATATACATACATATATATGTTTGTCTGTGTGTGTATATATATATTTGTAAATGATGATGATATTTCCAAATATGGAAGAATCTTGGTTAGCTAGCTCTGTTGTCATCAGCATATGTTAAATCTTTGCTTTTGCTCCTATTTTCCCCTATTCTGTCCTTTGTAGTCATTTCCCAAATAAATAGGCAGTTTATGGTAATGGAGCAGAATCAGGTGCAACATCTAATGAATATATTATATAGCTCATGAAATATTACAGGAAACACTCATTTTTAAAGTCTTGTATCATGAACCTACATGCGTTTCTTATAGGTACCAATGACCTTAGGTATTTGCCCTGATACCTGTAATTTATACCATTAATACCACCATCGGGTAAATCAACATTCCAACATGGGAAGATTAAGGAGCAGTGCAGGAAGTAGGTACAACCTGTAGGGGCATCCTCCCGTTTGGGAGTCATCATAGTGTAATAGAAGATGTTCCTTGTATGTGTTAAGCAGGCAAACACAACTAAGAGCCACTGAACTAAGGGACTGTGTTCCTGGGAGGACCTGGTTAAAATGCAAGTATGTTATATAGATGGGATAGAACCCACGAATACCTGAAAACCTACATGTTTATAAAATTTCCTGACTCAGCAAGCAGGGCTCTGCAGGACTGGTATACCAGATGAACCATTTTGCTCAGTGGCCAAAAAGGGCAGTGACGTTTCCAGAGCAGCAGGAAGGTGCCCAGGGGGAACTGAACTTCTTGGAATTCCTGGGTGGGAGGCAAAGAACTGCCAAACCGAGACAGATGTGAAAAGGAGAGGTGGGAGGCCACTGAAGGCCTGCTGGGCGACTCACAACTCTTCTGCAACCTCCCCTGGTCTTGAATAGGTCTGTGCTTTTCTTCAGGTCAACCTCACTGAGCTGAAAGCCTTCCCCAACCCCCTGAATGCGGTTACCAACGTCACTGCGGCGGTGATGGTGCTTATGGCCCCCCGGGGCAGAGTGCCGAAAGACCGAAGTTGGAAAGCAGCCAAAGTCTTCATGGGAAAGGTATCAGACAGCCTGGCAGGATAAAAATCCCAACAATTTCTGTTTTCTGTACTGTGGTTATACCTGACAGCCAAAGATATTCCCATTGAAAGGAGTCATCTTCGTATTTGCTGAGGGTAATCTGCTGTATGTTCTTTAGAAAATAGATTTTGTGTTTGCTAAATTGGAGGTTAGCTTGGAGTTATAGCACACCTAAGTCCACCCCAGCAGCCATTGGAAGGTTGCTAATTATTTGCAAAATTATAAAAGCAGTTAAGTGTAGGAGGAAGAAAATTACATGAATTTCTTATGCTGGAAAAAAAAATGTTACTAATGTACAAGAAGGTGAAGCAAAGGGGCTTTGGACTATGTGATTTTCTTTTTCTTTTCTGCCTTTTTTTTCCTTGTGAGTGCCTCCTGTGCAGGGACCGAGTATTTTACCCTGGGGTAGAAGAGGCTTTAAAAGTGTCCATTGCTAATTCTAACTTCATGCACTAAAGCCTGAAAAAGTCAAACAGTAGGATAAATGCAGCTTGCCAATTTTGCCTTTGTAATGTGAGTCCTAAAAGCTGATTTTAACTTTTGATCTTGGAATTTTCTCTGCAGCCAAAGTGGGCTCATTGCAATAAGTCTTTTTGCTTTACAGGTTGATGATTTTCTGCAAGCCTTAATTAACTACGACAAAGAGCACATTCCAGAGAACTGCCTAAAAGTGGTGAATGAACAGTATTTGAAAGACCCAGAGTTTAATCCCAACCTGATTCGGACCAAGTCTTTCGCAGCAGCTGGTCTCTGTGCTTGGGTCATCAATATCATTAAATTCTATGAGGTATTAGTCCTAATCAGGTAGCTTAGAGGTGGAATTCACAAAAGCCCATGAATATCTTAATTTCTAGGCCAGCAAAAAAATGTAATTTGGTAATAATCAAATAAGATAAGGTTCTAAGAATGAGACATGAATATGTCTGATTAAAGAGAATTCTATGTAGGATGATACTTGAACTGTTAAAAACTATCTTTTGTTAGGGTAGAATGAATAGCTACTTTAGATCAAATGGCAGCAGTTAATTTGAGGAAAACAGCAGTTGATTAGAGGAAAACTTGATACATACATTACTTCTATTTATTTGTATTAAAATACTAATTTTATTTTGATTTGGAACAACTGCACTTCTGGATTCATGTTTCATAAAACTTCATCCCTTCCCTCAAAGCAAAAATTCACACCCTCTGTTGTAGACTTAGGGAGATGAGGAACTAGCCATTTTTGTTTGTTTTCGTATTTTAATGACAAGTAGATTTTTGCCTATGTAGGGCCTGATCTAGTGTTTGTACTTGGGGTGGTGTAGAGGTAGGCTGATCACTGCATTTAGTCATTCATTTATCAAATACTGTTTGTCTGTCAACTGTGTCCCCAGTACTTTGCTGAGTACTGGGTGTAAAATGGGCAAATGCATGGTCCCTAGCTCTGAAAACCTGTCCCATTTTTATCTTGGAAGGTTTTGTGTTATATTCAAAAGCAGAATTGCTGAGGAAGTGCCGAGTATAGCCAACATGGTTCTGCACATGGGAGTCCGTATAGAGGGAGTCGGGGCAGGTTGCCACTGACGTACATTGATGTGTGGCCTCTCTCCACCAGGAAGTGCCTGACCCCTCTGCTCTCCTTGCATCGCGAGTGCAAATAGGAGCATGGAGTTAGACTGCCTGCATTCTTTGTTGTTTTGCTATAAAATAGGAAATAAAATTTAATTTCCTTTCTCTTTCCCCAACAGGAGAAAAAATTGATCCACCTAAATTCTCAAGTGACCCATTCAAAAAACACACACTTAAGGTCAGCAGGAACTTGAGAAAGAAAGTAAAAGTGTGGTTAATAATGTGTGAGAATATCTCCCCCTTTCTGGGTCCAGAGAATTCCTCCACACTTATTTTCTGCCTTAAAGTCAAGACTTGCTCCCAATTTTAGCTACAGTTCTTACACACTGCAATTTCTAGTGATGCGAGGCTTATCTCCAAATTTTCTGACAAACTAATTTCAGTATCTTAATGGTGTCTGGCGCATACAGCACTTAATGCATATAGAGTACTTGTGACTCTGATGTCCAGAATAAATGAGTAAATAGTGGACATGGAGAGAGCGCTTGGAAGGTTATGTGGAGTTTTGCTCTGTCATTAGGTAGTTAGTACCATGGCTAAGAAATAAACAACCAATTGCTAGGTGAATTAGAGATTTTAACTGTAAAGCTTCCAGCAGATGTAGGATTGAAGGGTTACTTGTCCTCCTTGCCTGTTCATTACCTCGTGAATTAAGTCCCATGTGGATTTTCAGGTCTACTGTGATGTGGAGCCCAAACGCCAAGCATTAGCCCAAGCAAACTCAGAATTGGCTGCAGCTACTGAAAAACTCGAAGCTCTCAGGAAAAAGCTTGAGGTGAATGCCAATGATAACCCTTGAAGAAGTTCCCAAGAGGTGGTACCCCTGCCTGCCTTGCCCCCGCCTCCCTAGGATCCCACCTTCAGACGGGGCCAAACAGAATCCCTACCAAAAATGGCAAGGAACTGGATCTTTCATTAACGTCTTCATTTATATACTTTTTCAGTTACTTTAAACAAATATGGGGTAAACATTAATTTTACAAAAGTAATCTTTATTCATTTGTAAAATCTCCCACTGTCAGTTTGACTAAAACCTTTAGAAAAATGTCTCACCCTGGCAGGCTAGCTCAGTTGGTTCGAGTGCCATCCCGATGTTCCAAGGGTTCAATCCCCAGTCAGAGCACATATAAGAATCAACCACTGAACGCATAACTAAGTGAAACAACAAACCTCTCTCCCTCTCTCTTCCCCTCCTTTTCTCTCCCCTTCTCTCCCTCTTCCCTCTCTCTGCTCCCTCTCTTTTCCTTCTTCCTTTTTCTCAAACCAATAAATTTTAAAAAGTCTCCATCTATTGTTGATGGCTTTATATAAATACCAGAACAACTTAGTGTTCATAGAAATAGTGATGAGGGTGCTGGAGACAGCCCCGTGAGACCCGACAGTCCAGAACGGCCGTGATTGCAGACTGGGTGGTCCTGTGGACGTAGCCTGCCACTGGCTGAAAAGAATTGCCCATGTCACCTGTTTCCAAAGACCCGCAGCCTAAGCAGAGGTTCACATGTCAGTAAGCTTTAGAACTGAGTTTGCAGACATGGAGAGAAGATAACAGAGTAATCACCGAGATGGCTGTGCAAAGAACGGGTTCCCTCGGTCCCACTGCCAAGAATGGATTTCCAGAGAGTAGTACTTAGTGCACCGATCTCAGTTCCCATCAAGGTTCATTCAGTTCTCCGTGGAGACACCATGGCTGGTCCTGCCAAAGACAAGGTTCCTCTGCATCGTTTCTGTCTCTTCACACAGTCAGATCAAGGTTGGAGTCCACATTCTAATTTTTGCCAGCTCGGCCCTGATCTCCTCTCACTTCTCCTCTCTCCTCCAGAAGGGAAATGCCTCCTGCCGCCTTCTTGCCTAGAACAGCAGAGATGTGTCTTGTAGCAGCATTGGTGCTGGGGTGGAAATTCGTTTCTGCCAGTGTCAGTCTCTACATATTAGTCCTTTCAAGTCTTTCCCTCTAGTTTCAGACGAGAGGATGGCCTCATCTGACAGGCTGAGAGAAAACAAAAACTGCCAAGTCAGAGCACAAGAAGGGCCAGCATGTCTCACAAACGGGGCCTAAGGAGCGCCACAGAGAAAGTTCAAAGTCAGTCTCTTTAGGGCAGCAGTTCTCCAAGTGTGTTCCCTAGACCAGCATCAGTGTCACCGGGGACTGGTTAGAAATGCAGACTCTTGACCCCACCCCAGACCTGGACAGGGAGCTCAGAAATGGGGGTTTTATCAAGCCCTCCATGCGGTTCTGATGCATAATCAAGTTTGAGAACGACTGGGTCAGGGTGTCTGGTCAGCTGGGGTCCTAGCACTGAGTCCTTCCCTCCTAGCAGAAGACATGAGACTCGTGAGTCAGAGACCAAGGACTTTTATTACTCACAGCGCAGCACGCAGCGTGAGCTCCATGTTTGCGTCACTCCCTTTGCCCCCCCGTTCCCACGGGAGTGAGGCACCGTGGACCAGATGATGTTGTACACAGTGGGCTGTGTCACAGCTGAGAAATCCCAAACTTAGAAAACCCCCAAGATACAGAGGGCTGTAAGTAAGCCTGCCCAACCTTTGCCCCGGGAGGGGGGGAGCATATCTTTATTACTCTGGTCAGGAGCATATCTGTCTTCTGCCTCAAGAGAAACACAGTCTCTATCTTCCAAGCCAATTTGCTACGCAAATCTCTTGGGAAAGATAGTCCAGAACACGAGCCGTCCGAGAAACAAAAGACTGGTCTCTGAATACCCAGCTCCCCTTCCCAGCTTTAGGAAATGAGTTGACATGTCATTTCACACCTTATTCCATGTATATTTAGGCCAGCCCTGTGAGTTGAGTAATGGTATTAGTTCCACTTTTCAGATGATGAAACTGAGGCACAGAGAGCTCACCTGACGCTGCTGTTCAGCTGGTCGCAGAGTCCAGATATGATCGCAGGTGTCTGATACCAGAGCTTACATGTGCTTCTGTGTTTTATTAAAAAACCACACGTACCTTTAATAACCTAAAATATTTTTAAAGAGTTTTAAAGAGCTGCTTTAACAAAATTAATTAAGTAATGATGTAATCACTGAATCATGGACAAATATAGGCAGTTTCTAAATTATGAATAGGGTGTATTCTACAAGTTTGCTTACTAAAGTCTCTTGGAACGGTGCACGTATTTACAAAGGCAATAGTATAAATCATATGTAGGGTTGCTAAAACCTGCAGGTACCAAGATGCTGTAGTAAGGTGTCTCCCAAGAATCGGATATCTTACTCAAGGCTGTTGGGCTGTCATGACCAAAAACCCACTTAGAAATCCTTTAGGTCCAGAAGGAAACCAGGATGACTCCAGGAAATGGGAGGCTGCTCTGAATGTCCTGTGGTGTCTCTCAGGGGTCTCGTGACTCTTTGTCTCTCTTCCTCTCCATCCCTTCTGTTTCTTCAGAGTTCTTCCTTCTGCTTTCCCGTACCCCTGGTGGAAGAAGGTCCCTCCAAGTAGAGCCCTCCAAAATGTGCTCCTCTCTCTGGTTCTTTTGACGCTAATGACAGTAACACACCTCTGAGTTTCAACCCCAAGTTGCTAGAAGAGACATTCTGGCTGGCCAGCCTGGGTCAGGTTGCCAAGGCCTGAAGGGATTCAGTCATTAGCCTGTCTCCTCATTGCCCATGATACAGACCAAATGGGAAACGAGCAAATAGTCAAGAGGTGGAGGACCAGTGGATGACATTTATCGTTTAAGGCTTAGGCCCAAGAGAGAGGGGGCAGTGCAGGGCACGTCCACTCACCCTGTCACTGACTCTGCCCCATGCAAAAGAAAGGCAAGAAGGCCACACGGCAAGCCGGCAGCCTCTGGTGGCATTCCTTCTTCGCCAATGCGTGTGCCAACGGGGCAAAGGTCAGAGGACGGATGGAGGTTTGGTTCATTTACTGCGAGGTAATAGATGTTTTAAGATGACAATGATATCTTATTGGATATTAGAAGTTATCAGAAGTTCTCATTTCTGTCTTATTTTAAAATGGCTCAAGTTAATTTGACTCTTCCTCAGGACCTGGATCGAAATCTGAGCAGACTCACAGCGTCATTTGAAAAAGCGACAGCTGAGAAAGCTCGGTGCCAAGAGGAGGTGAACCAAACAAACAAAACCATTGAACTAGCCAACAAACTCGTCAAGGAACTTGAGGCAAGTTAGCCTTTTCTTCCCAATTCCAGTTTGTTTTTTTTTAATTTTATCTTTATTTGCTGTCAATGGTAAGTAAATAGACATGGAATCAACAATAAAGGAGAGTATTTAATCGTCAATTCACACTGGAGTACTAACTTACCCAAACTAAGAAGTGACAGACCCTATGTATTTTGGGGGGTATAGCTATGAACTCAGTGGCTTTCCCAGATGTGCTATAGAGGTAGGAGGTGGACGCGCCAGGCTGGACAGAGAGCCCAAAGTGTGGGAGTGCACGCTACACAGGTACAGTTCCTCTTTCGTGTGAGCAAAACTCTCTGAAATTAGCCAGTTGGGATGACTGCACGAGTCTGTGACTATACTCAGCTGTGCACTGTGAAGGGTGAATTTCATGACGTCTGAATTACACCTTAGTGAAACTATTATTTTTATGTAAGTGCTACCACAAAATACATACCTGCACTGTTAGAAATGCATTTAGCTGACAAGGATAGAAAAGTTGGTTTACAGTGGCTTAAGCAAATGGGAGTTTATTTTTTACATATTACAAAAAACTCCAGGTAGGCCCGACAATTGGTGATTGGACACCTAATCTCTCTGTACCTTCTGCTTCTCGCGAGTTGGCGGGTGGCTGTTCACCCTCACGCATTTTGTGTCGCGGTCATGGATGGCTGTTTGACCTGCAGATCAGGCAGGAGAGAGAATGATTCATGTCAGCTGGATTGTTGTCCTTTTATAAGAAAAACTGAAGTTTTCCTAGGAACGTGTTTAGAGGACTGCCACTTCCGTTTCCCCAGCCAGAGCTAGAGTGACCATATGTGACTGCAAAGAAGGCTGGGAAAGAGGCAAACAGGGTTATCATGATTGGCCTAGCCAATAGCGGTCCATCTCATGGGGCTGGACACATTACCACCCTATTCAAAATCAGAGTTCTGTTAGCAAAAGAGAAGGGAGAACTGTGTTAGGGTTGGTTGAGCTGGGAGATAGCCTAACTTCTTATAAATATACTGCAGTTTTAAAAAATCTAACTTAAAACAAAAAACACACAAATTTAAACCCATTCTCTTTCGTAGTCCATTCTGCAAAATCCATCCTCTCCATTCTACCTCAATAACTGCAAGTCTGTTCTTCCAGTCGTGAGGGCCAAAGGCTTCGGAATGACCCTTGACTTTTTGCCCTCGCACCACCCATCCCCAGTCCGCGGCATATTAATTGTATTGCTCTGCCTTCAGAGCCACTCGGAATCCTAGCATCCCCATCATCTTCACCTCTCCATGCTGGTCCAGGCCGCCAGCACCTCTGCCCTGTACTACCACCCTCGCCTCCACCGTTACTCCCAAAGTCCACTCCCTTCACTGCAGCGGAGTGGCATTTTAAAAAATGAGGTTCATTCACGTCACTGCTGTCCTAGAAATCTCCAGTAACTAACCATCTAACTCTGCATACAGCCCAAAGGCTCTCCTGGCCTGCAAGGCCCCACGCGAGCTGGCTCCTGGAATCCTCTCGTCCTCACACCTGCCACCTTCCCTCTTGCCCCACGTTCCCTGGCCTTGCTCTTGCTACCTTTGCCTTTTTCCTCCACGTGGCTTACCTTCCCCCCTGATAATGACATTGCTGGCTCCCTGGCTTCCTTCAGGTCTCTGCTCAAAGTTCTCCGTGTCACTTGGTTTTCTCTGCTCTCCCTTCCTGAAAGAGCATGTCCCCTGCTCCCTATCCCGCCCCCCGCCCCACGCTCCATGGCTCTTACTCTGCTTTACTGTGTTTTGATAGCATTGATCTACTGATCATGGCATATACACATGGCATACACATGGCATATACACACTCACCCCGCACGTATATGAGGTGCTCAGGAATGGGACCACCATCTCTTTTCCACACAGCTTGAGCCCCAGCATACAGAATAGTCCCTGGCACATCGTAGGCATCAATAAATATTTGTTGAATGAAGGAATGGGTGAGCTTTGGGAGTCTCCAATGCTTAAAAAAAAAGTCCGGGGCCTTTCAAAGATTCATTTTTCTCTGGGAGTTGAGAAATTCCACCACTTCTGCTGGAGTTTACAACTGTTCCCATTTACAGTGGTGAGATTTAAGCAGCCGGAAGCGTTCACCACTTGCAAAGTGTCTGAGGAACAGAAAAAGTGTCATTTAATTAGGCTGTTTTCCTGAAGCCGCCACAGAATGTCTGAAAGTGCTATGAAGGGAAAAACGGGCTTCACCCTGTGTCTCTAACACACAGCAATGTCTCCCGAAGGCTTACTTACTCAGGAAGATTTAGATGGGTGGGAAATAGGTCGACTAGTGTTAACTAGCAAAAATATATATAATAATATATGTACACACACACGTGTGTGTGTATATATATATATGTGTGGATTAATTAAAGATGTCAGACCTTTTCCTTTGAGAATAAATTCTTTCTGACGAGAACAGGAGACAGTTAACTTCTGAAAAGCATTAAGACTGATGATTTTGTCTATATAGCATTGACCTGGAAGCTCAACCATTCAGACTAATAAATCAGACAATTTATATTTAATCATTAACTAACTCCTGAGCTGAACAGCTGTTCAAAATTAGAAATGGGTCACCCAGCCAGAATGACATTACAGGCAATCTATAATGCATTAGAATAAAATTATAGTGATTTTTAACTGTCTAGAAATTTATTACAGGACATGTTCCAACCCTTAAACCCTTGTTAGCCGGTGTCAGTAATGATTTATGTTGCGTGGGTGGTATGGTGAAATTATCGACGAGTTCAGGAGCCAATAAGTCTATGTTTAGTAAATCTCCAGGTTTCAAAGCTGTTTTGGAGAATGAGGTGGGTGCACTTTATTGCTTAACATTTACTAACCAAAGAGACAACAAAGATGGAAGGAAGGCAAATGAGAGATTCCTTTTCAAAATGAATGGATATATGGCCTGTAGCCGAGGAAGGAAATTAATGGATTCCCTGAAGAGGGTAGAGAGCTGAGGTTCCTTAGTGCTGGACTGGGGCAGCGAACTGGGGGTGGGTGCTCTGTGTTCGGCGAAGGAGGGAGACCACGGTAACACAGCTCTGAGAGCCGTCCTCACCCTCTCGTTTCATGGCCTCGGTGTCGTGGGCGTTATGATGGCGTGCAGGCACCTGGCGCTCTCGTCTGTTCTGATGCGTGTCACTTTTGTCTCCTGTGTCCTGTCTCTCTTCCTTCTTGAGGAAAACCGAATTCTGCAGGGATTGTCTTTGCTCGTACTATCACATTGCTGATTTTTCTCTGGGTCCTGTTAATTTGCATGTGCTTAGAAGATATTCATTTTTAGCATGCATTGAAACAAAATGAATTAGTATCTTGCAGTTTAATTAATCCATAGATATTTATTGCAGTTTTATTCAAATCCAATATTAAGGGCTCCACATAGTTAACCTGAAAATCAAATTTTAAATGGCCATCCAACTGGATATAAGGACTTCAGCAGCATTCTTTAAATGTATTGTCTTCAAAGCTGGTGAAGTCTTTCTGATTTCCATGTTTTTACATATGTTATAGGTTCCGCCACGGATCAAGTGATTTTGTTAGAAAAATAACCTGAGTTTTGAAACTACCAGCACTATTCTTTAATTGATAGATTTCAGATTAGGTGGCACTTTAAGCCTTATGTTTTAATTAATTAACATGTGTGGTATTGGTCATTTTCCTTTTTCTATAATAAGCCCATAGCCAGTATGTTAAAAAAAAAAGTTTGCCAAGGGCAGGCTAGCACCATCGCTGAAAGCAAGGGATGTGGGAAGCAGCCAAGCTGCCATTAAAAATCCTAATAACATTCAGTCTTGGCCACAGCTCTTGATCCTCCACTCCCAGAGGGACAAGAGAGTGACTGTCATCAGACTTTCAAGAAGGACCTCAACCACAAGGAAAGAGTTAGAGCATCTAGCCGGAGAGAGTGTGAGAGCTGCTTCGGAATGATGGGTTCCAAACAGATGAGATTGTAACGGTCCTGCCAACCTAGTTCCATCCTGTTCCTTCTAAAGACTGGGCGTAGACTTAAATGTGTACTAAAGCAACTACATTAAGGGTTTGTGAAGTCCTCACTCACACTGCAATTACAACTGAGTAATTCTATCTTCCAGTCGGAGAAAATTCGCTGGGGTCAATCTATTAAATCCTTTGAAGCTCAAGAGAAGACACTCTGTGGAGACGTTCTCCTAGCGGCAGCCTTTGTGTCTTATGTTGGGTCCTTTACGAAGCAGTACCGTCAGGAACTGGTAGACTGCAAGTGGCTTCCCTTTCTCCAGCGCAAGGTAATCCCAGTTCCCTACCTTGTCAGCCTTAAGGCGCATCACGTTGAAATTCCAGCCGTGAAAGCAGTCTGTACACCAGGCTCTTTGTGCCTCTGGAACAACCACTGCCTGGAAATTCTGGTGCGAAGGAGATGTTCCTTGTGTTTTGTAGTTTTTCTTATTTTAATGATGGCTGAACAGGAAGATGGGAAATATAAAAATTAATTATATAGAGATGTAGTTGTAGGTGGTAACAACACTGATAACTGAAATCAAATTTGGATGGTTATGTTATTATATTCTATGATTCTTGTTGTTTTCTTACTAATATCAGGAGTTGTTTGTTAAAGTATTTTTATGGCTACTTTCATATTGAAAGTGTAGCATTTTGAGCATAAGTGTAAAAACAGCTCATCCTAAATTTGAAAATTCAAATCTGTAAATGGAGTGAAATCATAGACTTGGAAGATTTGAAATCATCTAGTCTGAGATCCTCCTTGTAGAGAAAAGCAAGACACAGGGAGTGTGAGTGACGTGACTGAGGCCACCTGGGAAAGGACATCAGACCTCTGACTCCAGGCCACTGTGTTCCGCGTAACACGGTGCTATCTCAGTTGATTAAAGCAGGTTCTTCGTGCAAACATCCGGCCCCTAAGATATCCCAACTCTCTCTGCGGATTAGTGTTCTCCATTGGTGATTCTGCCTCAATCTGCACCTTGAACGACATGGGTCCACATATATGTGGCTTTTTAGAAGTAAGTATGCAGTCAGCTCTCTGTGTCCTCAGGTTTTTCATCCACGGATTCAATCAACTGTGATCGAGAATAGTGCTTTCAAACCATGGCTGGGAATCTGAGGATGTGGAAGGCTGATTGTATGCATTGTTCTACGTCATTTTATATGAAGGACTTGAGCATCAGGTTTGGGTATCAGTGAGGGCGGGTGGGGGTGCGTCCTGGAACAAATCCCCTGCCAGTACTGAGGGACAATTATTGTTTCTATGACATGAACATGTCAGTGGAATTTTTGCAATTTAAATAAAAATCAATGTTTTAGGGAAAGCTCATTGTTGAAGGTGTCCCATAATTCATGGCATATGTGGTCTTGAGGGTCCAAATAAAATTATCTGCAATTGTTTCAACCCAAAGTTGTTGTCTGTGGAACAGAAGGAGATATGGCCAAGTTCACAGTGACATTGCTACTCTACTCAGTAATCAGACCTAGCAGTTTATAGACAGATCCAAAACACGGAGTTATTATCGGCATTAGCCCTTCTGAGCCTCGATGTCCATGTTCAAAAATAAATAAATAAATAAAAGAGATACTCACTGTGTAGAACTGCTTGGGTTAAATGAGACAATTAAAACAATGAATGTATGTGACTATATTTTGTAAACACTTAACACATTATAAATGTTGTTGTTTCATTAACAAAACAATAGGAGAAACAGGGAGGCTTACTTCAGGGGTTCCCAATTTTCCTTTGGAATGTGCCACTTGGTCAGTTTTCAGAAGACTCTGATCTGCATTTGGTGTGAGGATGAGTTCGGCTTAGCTCACGCAGGTGCTTCCAGCCATCTCTTTTCTTTGTAGTGGAAGTTTCTTGTCCAGAACGGGGAGCCTCCTTCCTGTTTTCGCAGCAGCATCTCGTAGTAGCACCTGGGCTGACAACAGGTTGACACTTGTACCGTTGGAGCCATGCTGACCCCGCGAGGCTGGCTTTTTACCCAAAGGGCTCCCTCTTTGCGCAGGTTTCCGAACTCATTTTCCTTTCCGTGGGCTTCTTCAAGGGATTCTCAAAAGAGGAGTGGACTAAAAAGAAGGTACATATGGATGAGGGTTTATTTTCCTCGGCCTAAACCTAGGAAAAACACTGTAAAGTGATGCTTGTATTGTAACTATCAAGCAAATATTTTGATGAAAAAAATTTATGTTGTCATACAACTACCTATGTGAACATAACACTATGAATAACATATCCTAAAATTTGTTTCTGAGAATGTAAATCTCAAAGTATTTCACGGTATTTAGGATATTCTTTAATGTGAGTCACCTGCTTTATTTCCTCTACTAGATTAAACTGACCATATAAAAGGGGGAAGGCTGGTGTTCTCTTTGATTCTCTGCACTCCACTCTGCAAACAGTAGGTGCTCAAACAATACAAGTTATTGAATTACAAAACAAGACCTACATGTGTACCTTCTGCTACTCCTTTTAGCTTTAGGAATTAAAGTGAATTCAAGCTTCCAGTTGTTTCAAGTGGTTTTTTAAGTAGAAGGTAAGAAATTAAAGCCACATGTCCTCGGCTAATAGGAGGATGCTCATTCAAAAAGATCCCAATTGGCTTGTGTCTTTAAGGAAACTGTATCGCGTCAGATACCAAGGCTTCTTGTTCAACTCCCTGGGAGATGGAGTTTATTTCTCAGATAACCGTGTAGTCAGGAACAGGAGGAATAGTGTGCCACTTTTCCTATACTGATACCAAATGGCGTTGCAGCTTTTACTGTGGAAGTTTTTCCAGAATTTCGTTTACTGAAGCTCTGTGCCCAACCAACACGTCAACCCCCCACTGCCGCTGTGGCCGCCCTGCCTACCCTAGGTGGGGCTCTTCCTGTAATCTCTTATGGAGGCACGTTTCTATCAAGCCTTGGGGCTCACTCCCTTTCACCTCGCTCGTTTGGGTGTCTCTGGACAGTGTTTTAGGTGTAGGAGGAGCTCAAGAAATGTTAGGTGATTGACGATCCAATGAATAAATTGATTTCCATGATCTTATTTATTTTTGGTGCAGTTGGTCCGTTTTTATAAGGAAGGACACTTATTCTCTGAAATAGGTTTCTCTTTTGCTCTCTTCCTCTCATTTAAAGGCCCCAGCTCCCCACTTTGCACAGTCACAATGTAGGCAGAGGAGAGACGGTCATCTAAGTTCCTGGACACAACCAGCAAACTGATGGCATTCCAGTGGGCTGATTATATTCTATTAGTCCGTCCCAGAAGGGCAAGTCCTTCCTGTGTGGTGTCGGCCCACAGTAAAAGATGAAAGGCCTGAGCAAGATGCTGCGTTTTCATATTGCTTATGTGGGGCAATGACTCCACCAGGCAAATGCATTTCTGGTGTCCACCATTCTTTTGGTGTCTAAATTTACTCTTGCTTTGTTGGAGTAGCTATAGATGTACTTGAAGTCAGATAGATGCAGTAATGCACCAGGTGTTGAATGCTGCCATTGACAGAATCCTAAGAAGTAAATAGTGGGTTTATTAGATTGCATTGTATTTCATCATGAGAGTTCTATTTGGTTTCTGAGAGCCTAAGAACATTTGCATGTCTTCTCTTGGCTTGGATGTCTTCCCCGGTCTGTCGTTCTGAGTCTTTTGCTCTGCCACACTAATTGTGTATTGCATTGAACTCTGATTTTAAAGGTTTCAATCCCAATGACGGAAGGCCTGGACTTGATCGCCATGTTAACGGATGATGCTACAGTCGCCACCTGGAATAACGAAGGACTGCCCAGTGACAGAATGTCAACCGAGAATGCCACAATCTTAACCCACTGTGAGCGCTGGCCCCTGCTGATAGATCCCCAGCAACAGGGAATTAAGTGGATCAAGAACAAGTACGGAACTGACCTGAAAGTCACACACGTGGGCCAGAAAGGGTATGTGAAGTCTGAGGACTGGCTGTCTGGTTAGCTGCTGCAAAATGGGTATGACTCCAGGCCTGACGTTTGTTAGACCTCACTGCCACTTCGAAAATGGGGCAGTTTGGCATTGATTGTTATCTGCCTGGTCCTGTTTCCCATGAAGTGGAAAAGCATTTATGTTGGGCAGTATCCTATCTGAAGAGGAAATTAGATTGAAGGTGAGAACAAATACTGCATTTGAGAGGAAAAATACGTTGATATCCTAAGGCTGAAAATGGAAATATGATATACTGTAATCCTTCTCAAGAGCATTTGGCCCATCACATGAACTGTCACCTGCATCTGTAGGCTTAATGTTATTTGCATTCAGATTCCTAAATAGGTGCTTTGCCTACAGTAGGACTCCAACACGTTTCCAAGTCCCAATACCAAACACTTGAAGAGAACTTAATTTCTAGGTCAAGTATTACACGTCACTTTTGAGAACTAAATCTACTCTGAGATTTTCTGTCATTGGGTCTGATAATACCACCCGATAAGTGGAGAGATGTCTTATATGTAGCTGGTGTTCAGTTAATGTTGAGGAAATAGTTTTAGACTTACTAATATTTCATTTTGCCTCTCCATCACCTTTTCACACATAAGATGAAATAAGGAATATCTTCAGTGTTGCAGATAAATGGGTTCCTTGCTCATCTAAATACTTGGAGAAAATTATTTTTGAAGGAGACGGGCTATTTTTGAAGAGTGGGAATGAAGTAAAATGATAGTTCACCACTTTATGTGACTGAACCTAAAGGTTTAAAAAAAATGAAAGTTGGATAAAACCACAAGGTATTTAATGTGATTTGAAATTTTTATCAAGAAAGGATCTATGTAAAGAATTTACACTTAGTGATGTCTAGACAGTTTCATTTATTTCCAATATGATTATTTTCAAATGTAACTAATGTCCACATAGGTTTATCAGTTCAAACTATTGAATTTCACTTGGAAAAAATAACTGAAATTTATCTCAAAATCTAATCTTCAATTTCTATATAATCTAGTTAAGAAAGAATACTACTTTATAAAATAGTTTTCTCTGAGTTAGTATGTCCCATTTAAAATGGGACAGAAATATTAAATATAATTTAATATATTTGAATAATTTTGCCCTGGCTGGTGTAGCTCAGTGGATTGAGCGCAGGCCATGAACCAGGTATCACAGGTTCGATTCCCAGTCAGGGCACATGCCTGGGTTGCAGGCCATGGCCCACAGCAACTGCACATTGATGTCTCTCTCTCTCTCTCTCCCCCCTCCCTTCCCCCTCTAAAAATAAATAAATAAAATCTTTAAAAATAATAATAATTTTGAACATTTTAAAAAAGATTTTATTTATTTATTTTTGAAGAAGGAAGAGAGGGAGAGAGAGAGAGAGAAACATCAATGTGTGGTTGCTGGGGGCCGTGGCCTGCAACCCAGGCATGTGCCCTGACTGGGCATGTGCAAACCTGTGACACTTTGGTTCGCAGCCCGAGCTCAATCCACTGAGCTACTCCAGCCAGGGCTATTTTGAACATTCTTTCCAGTGCTTAATTTTATTATCTCCATTCCAACTGAATTTTAAGGTTTTTGAATGCCATCGAAACTGCCCTAGCCTTCGGAGATGTCATCTTAATTGAAAACCTCGAGGAAACAATAGATCCCGTCCTTGATCCACTGCTTGGCAGGAACACAATTAAAAAAGGAAAGTAAGTATTCCTGAATTTTTAACATAGACTTTATGTTACATATGAGTTTGATCTTCAGCTTGCCTTTCTCAGCCTCTTCACCAGGCACGGTCATTCCATGGAGCCTCATTCCAAATCCCAAGCAACCTCAACGTGATCCAGACTTTCCAACTGTTTGTTTGCTGGGTTTCGGTTCATGTTACCCAGTTTCCAACTTATGGACAAAGAATTGCATTCCCACAAACCTGAGAGCAGTTGCTCCTTTACAGATGTATCCCAATGTTTCTCTAACTCCGGCACTCTGAGAAACACCTTTTTAGTGTGTTTGCCTGAATTGCATGCATATCGCTTGTATCCTATTTACTTAAGACTTTTCTTTAGACAATTTTAAATCCACTCACTATTTTTTTTTTAAACCTTAGCCTCACTGCAAGTAATACCATCCTCAAGATTATGTGTTTGCTGTGCCGGCTCTATTTTTTCTAATACACTCAAAATATAACAATTAAAAAATGAATTTGTTAGTGGACCCCTAAAACCTCCCCTCACCCATCAGTAGCGGTGGACTACCTAAAAGTTGGAATACCCCCACAGGGCGTTCTAAACGGCTGCCGTTTCCCCCTGGGACACCCCACGCTCTAGGACACTTTCTCAGAGGCAGTGGAGCCATTTCCAAGGAGTCAGTGTGTCATTTTCTCTAAATGTGTAAAAGGTCAGAGGCAGCAATTACGTCTCAATTCAAGGCAGCATGGCCCCGGGGGGGCGGGGGCGGGGAGGGCCACATCCCAAGGGCTCTTTGTGCCTCTTCCCTCCAGAGACCCACAGTCACCAGGCTTATCTCTCTGGGCTTTCTTCACTCTCTCTTTTTTCTTTCCAGACGTGTAATTTCAGAACTTCCCCACCCCCTTCTTCTTTGACACCCCTCTCTGCCTCAGAGATATCTGTCTCCCTTTTCATCACTAGATTATTCCTGTCAATTTGAAGTGGAAATAGGCCTACTTAAAGGTGACTAACTTCTATTTTTTAAAGTCTCTAACCAATGAGTATAGTATATATTATACAACTCACCAAGTAAATCCATTTACAGTGACTGACAACTTATAATTGTTTAATAAACCGGAGTTTACCCAGACATACATTTAGAACAATCTAATAAGCCACTTGACAAACTGTAACTCTAACATAAATATAATTGCAGCTGTGTCTGATGTTAAAAACACAGTGTAATATCTTGAATGTCACTAAAGTGAAATCCTTGTTATTAAGGTTCTGACTCCATTATGAAGACCAAAAATTTTTTGTTAGTGAAATACAGTCTCTAGCTTTAACTTGGACTTTCAATAGCACAATTTTAGGTGTAACAAATTTGGTGACAATTTCTGTCTCTCTCTCTCTTTCTCTCCGCCCTGCCTTCTCTCTCTATATATATGTATAATCTGTTAGGCTTTACTGAGCCAATCATATCATTCCAGCATTTTTAAAAGATCAAGAGAATTTAAAATGATACGTAAGAATATTAAAAACGCTGTTTACTGTGCACAGTTATTACCTTAACTCCTAGCTCCTAAACACTAATGTGTGGGAATGGCCACTTGTATGAGGGTGAATTTCAGAACTGTGTCTTCAGTGCTTCCCTGTCCCACGCAGATGATTGTAGCAGATGTCTTTGCCCAGAGAGCCCGAGTGCTGGCGAAGCCTTACACCTCCACCAGACACTGAACAAGCCTCTCGGAGCACTGCTAGGTGCTGGGGGCTGTACGCAGCACTAGGAGGCTGCAGATTCAAAGCATGATGGGGTACAGATCCTGCTCTAGAAGAAACTGCATTTCCCTAAGGGAAAGACAGACCTATAACCAATAACAGGAATACAGTGCCATTGGCGAGATGATAGAAATAGGCATGACAGGGAGTTGTTATTTCTATAGTGGAGACTTGGAAAGGCATTATGGGAAAAAAATTGCATATGATTGCATTGACCTTTCAAGTGAGCCTCGGGAGGTGAGTTGGGCATTTGTCAGATAGACAAATGGGAGGAGAGAACCCTAGTACAAGAGAATCAATACCAAATAGCAAAACACGGGGAACAGCCCAACAGTTTTAGGGAACTGCAATAAGATCCAAAGAGTCTTGTGTTGGGCAGGCAAAGAGGGGAGTGTGGAGAGATGGGTGGACTGGGAGAGACGAGGCCACAGAGGTTGTCGGGGGCCCAGAACACAGAGGTCCTCGGGCATCCACATGTGACCCATAGGTTGGCCTTTTCCTGTAGGTTGTTATTTTTTTTCCCACGCACACTCAAGGGCCCTTTGCCCTCAGTAACATGAGATGACAGCAGCAATGGGTTTTGACCGAAGGGGCACACCTTCCTGGATAACAGATGAGGGGTCTCATTTTTTCACTTGAGAATCATGAACATAAATCTGTGGGGAGGCTTATGAACACTCTTAAACATGCCGGGAGCAATGTGATCAATTTGTTTCTGGAAGCTTGTGCTGTCGGTGGTGTAGGGACATGGACCTCGAGCCAGAGTCTAATTAGCAAACAATTACAGTAATTTGGTTGAGACATGATGTGAGCCTAAGCTAAGGCAGTCACTATAGGTACTGAAGAGAGTAAACCAAGGAATTCTCAAGGAGTAAATGTCATCAGTTCATAGTCAGTAATTGGATATTTTTGTTGGTAGGGAAGAAGAAGGGTTCAGGGTAATTTCCGGTTGTCTGCCAGATTAAATGAAGGTATGATTTCTGGAGAGATGTGATGTAGGAATAGGACTACGAGTACGTGTAGAGAAAGAGAATGATTTCACTTATTAGACAATCAAAGATCGAGGTGCTGCTTTAACACCTCAGAAGCCACTTGACCTATGAGCTTGTGAAGGACATCTCAGCTGAACGGTAGGTAGGGAGCACCTGCAGAGCGGTGGTCAAGCCATCGTGGTGGATCAGGTTATCTACAGAGACGCTAGGACAGAGGGCGCGCTCCCGTTGCAGATGAGAAAAATGGGACTGAAGGAGCTTAGTTAGTCTTCTTGGATGCCCTGTGATTCTGCGAATTTAATATGGGGAAACCTAATTTCTTAAATAGCTTTTCCAAATAAATAGGCAAGACCATCTTTCTGTAGAAACCCTATGGATATTACTTGACCAGACTAACCTTTCCTTCTCTTTCATTCCGTTTTCCCCCCCAGACCTTGTTTATTTTCCCATCAGTGTCTCGGGACCCGTGTGTGGTTTTCAGATCCCTACCTCCCATTGCGGCTCAGGCCCTCCCTCCCTTCACGCCGACTGGAGTAGTCTTTTTGCCCCTCCCTCTGCCCACTCCTGTCCAGCCCGGACAGTGGTGAAAACAGTCTGTTCCAGTATCGTGCCTGTCTTCAATCCCCTGTGCAAAGACGCTTTAAGAATTTCCTATTGCCTGCTAACAAGGAATCGAATCAAAGCTCTTCTGTGAAGATTGTAAAATGCCTCACCTCTCTGATGGAAGACTTAGGAAGCGTAATATTAAATTAGACATGGGCCCATCATTCAAATTAGGAACTGAAAGATTCCCGATATTCTTCAAGGCACCTTTGTGCTGCCCTCCTCCCCCATGCCTCCTCCTCTCCCAAAGGTGGTCAATGTCCTAAGTTTTGTTATCACTCCATTATTTGACTTAAAATAATTTCAGGATACACTTGCATTTTCCAAAAATAATAGGTTGTTTCTTTTTCTTTGATTGGGGGCTTTATAAAAATGTCATTATAATGAATATCGTTTAAAGGGACTTGAAATTTTGACTCAATATTATGTTTTAAGCCTTACTATATTCTTGCTTTTAGCACTTGTTCTTTCATTTTCACCACTGTATTTCATCACTCTTCAAGAGCGTGGCTATTCCTCAATTTATTTAATGGTTTCATTGAAGGACAGTTAGGCTATTTTCAGACTTTTTGCCGTTAGAAGCCATGCTGCTACGAACATTACTGTACCGAGTATTCCTACGCACATCTACAGGTGCATATACATAGAACTTCTTCAGAGTTCATATTGTCGAGTAGCAGTGTGGGGTTGTGGCATATGCGCACAATCAGCTCTAACAGATGATGCCAAATTGTTCTTCAAAGTGCTGGTGTAAATTTCTGCGCTCACCAGTAGTGTTCAACAGAGAGTTACAGAGTCTTGCAGAGAACTGTGCTAGGGGCTTTCACCCTTCTGCTGTTTTGTATGATATAGAAGATTTCTGAGTTTAATGCCATTGGCCACTGTTTTCCAGGGGGAACTATTCCTACATCCTGTTTTTTTTTCCACCTCTTATTTTTGAATGGAAAAAATTAACGAGACACTCAAAATATTGCAAATAGTTTTGTTTATAAAAGCTTTAAAAGTTCTTTGGAGTAAAGTTTGGTATTTTAGTGATCGTGTTTTCACCTGACAAGAAATATGTTTAAACAAAGCAAATGCTCTCTTGTTCCTTCATGTAACTCTTTAAAAGGAGAGAAAGAAACTTTATAAAATATTCACACATATGCACACTAGAAGGGGATATGGAAAAATAAAGAGATTGGTAGAAATAGGTATTATCTTTCTTTCAATGCAACAAATAAAAACTAGGAAAAACACTGGAAAAGAAAGTGAGCAGGCAAATATTGATACGCCCTGTGTAGTAATAGAAATAGAAACCCATTTGCAGTGTTAATGGGACAAGGACAGAAATTTTTGATTTTACCTCCATCACAGGCCAAACAAACCTGAGTCTGTAAATTTTCTAATAGGCCTTCTGTTGTGATCTTCAATAATGAATGTTTTGCTTGATTTTTTCCTATGTTTCCCTTTGTATTGTAAAGACAAAACAGTAGTGAAAACAAGAAGAGAGGGGAGCAAACCCTGGGGATTGAAGCCAGAGCATTCACCCAGAACGTCTTTATTACATCGTGTGCCTCAGATGCAGGTGGAGTAACACTTGCATCCTCCTAAGAGAAGGCACATCCCTCAGAAACTTTCTGGTTATTCATAGTGTTTTTGTTTATCTGAGTTCTGTTTGTTTGG